TCATACCTATTATATTTTTGGTCTGTAATTCTAACAAATTATCAACTTTACCAATATCACTACGTTCTCTAGTTCTTTATCATTTCCAAATTCCGACACTTACCGAAGATGATCGAAAATCCATAATTATGCATGAACTTGTTGAATCAAATCTTATTGATATCGCTGCTATCGGTTATCAGACAAGCGTAAGTTGTTCTCGATTCTTTTCTTCTTTGGAATTTATCATTTTGTTTGAATTTATAATTATATTATTTTAGTGTATTTCGAGTTATGTCAGTTCAAAAAATCTGAATATCAATAAATTACATGAAAATTGAAAGCTGAAAATTTTGAAACATTTAGGGATTTACTTTATCTGATTTGCATATTCTGTTATCGGATGCATCATTTCGAAAAGACGCTACAAATTCGTGAGTTTCTTTTTGTTACCATTCAAGTAACAAAGTTAATATAATCAGGATGCATACTGTTTTCGAGTATTTGAAATTTTTATAGACCGATGCTGAAAACTGAACACTTCATGTGGGCAATTGATGAGCGTAACAAGAGATTGGCTGATAAAATTGGAGCACCCACTGTAAGTTATATCAATCAATAATTTTTGTATTTGATTGAAAAGGCTGTGGATAAATCATTTTGTGTGTAATATAATCATAACTATAATAATCTTACTGAAATTCAATTTGTTTTTTAGAAAACCGTAATGATATTCGAATCATTGATATTTAGAAGTTATTAAAAATTATGGACTGGGGTTAAGGTATTAATATCCTAATTTGCTTTCCCTAGTTTGCATTTCTTATTCCATCCATCTTCTTCATTTCTGTACATGTTAGTCAGTGATACGTAACACTAATCATTTGTGGACAGGAATTTGAAAAGATCAATTAATACAGAAAAATTTTTGAAAAATAAATCTCTAATTTTGAATTCTTCAAGATTTTATGATATGATGTTTTTATTTATGAGTTTAGAGCTTATTATTTTAAAATATACGATTTTTCCGTTTCATACTTAGACAAAATTGTAGATACCAAAAGTGACATGGGACGATATTGGAGGTTTAGATGATGTTAAGCAAATTGTTATTGAAAGTCTAATTCTGAATTTGCAAGCGAAGAAGAATATGAAACGTAGTGGTGTTTTGTTATATGGTCCTCCTGGTTGTGGTAAAACACTTATTGCTAAAGGTTCTAATTTGGTTGATATGCCATTGATAGCTGTGTTATTGAGACTTGATTAAACATCATGTTACATTAGAAACTAGAACTTTTTCATGACGGAGAGCTATGAGATTAATAGTGTATTTTTATTAGTATTGAATTGCAAAAGCTTAAATGAAAAGACAAAACAGTTTCTTTATAAATTTTTTGATGCTAGAACACTGAAGATATATATCCTTGACTGTTATTTTGCAGCTGTCGCAAATCAATTTAAAATTACTTTTTGAGCGTGAAAGGGCCTGAACTTCTCAACAAATATGTTGGTCAGAGCGAAGCAAATGTTCGCAGAGGTAATATGTGTTTTAGTAATTTGGATTATACATACTGATGATAATATATTTGAACTGTATTATGCATTATTTTAAATACATGTTTCTGTAGTGATACAGTACTGTAGATATTTGACATTTGCTCTATCAATTTTTTTAGTTTTTGATAAAGCTCGAATGGCTGAGCCCTGTGTATTATTCTTCGATGAACTCGATTCTCTCGCTTCTAGACAGGGTCGCTGCGGTGATTCCAGTCGTGTAGTTGATAAGTATGTTTATTAATTATAATTTAAAATATCAGTCCAAATATTTAGGGTCTGTGCTCTATCTAATTTTTTCTGGCAATGTGGATGTTTTCGTTATTTGCATTATTCAATTCATACTTACTTTCAGCATTGTATCACAATTGACTACAGAATTAGATTGCCTAGAAGACTCAAAAATCTTTATTTTGGGTGCTACAAATCGGCTTGATTTGTTGGATTCATCGCTACTGAGATCGGGAAGGTAGTCTAAAAGACTTATATATGTTCTCTCATTATTTAGAAACTTTTCTATTTAATCATTCATTTTAGCTGCTTATTTAATTGACTCATTCTTATTATTTCTTTTTTATTCATTCTTTGCTTAATTTAAGGTTTGACAAAGTCATTGAAGTCAGCGGAACAAGAGATGTTGTAACACGAGAATGTATACTCCGTGCAGCTAGCCGAAATATAACATTTGCTGATGGCGTTAATTTGAAAGAAATTGTGTGTCATGAATGAATTTATCTACAAACAGAAGCTGACAGCTTAGTTTATTTCTGGAGTACCACCGATGCATCATTGGAAGTTATTGAGAAAATTGTTAGGAGTATAATATAATTCGTGAAATTTTTGATGTGGGATTGAATGTAATAGTGGTCCTTTAAAATAATGTTCAAAATAAGTATGAACTTTGTTAATAGAATTTCGTAATTTGTTGGTTAAAATGTAATTTTGTATAAATCAGCTTTTATTTGCAGCACATTTTTCATGTAATGAAAATTTCAGATAAAGCGTTTCTTATTTTATTTTTATTTATTTTCTAAAAATTTTCTCTTTAGGCAGAGTTATGTGGTCATCTATCATCAGGAGCAGATTTGCATGCAATAATTTCTCGTGCACAAATGGATGCAATACGAAAGCGGATCGAAGCGATAGAAGCTGGATTAGCATTACCTGAGGAACAGCTATTAATCACGCAAGATAATTTAAAAATGCAGTAGAAGAGGTCAGTTTTTCTTTGATTTCGTTTTTAGAATAAGGATGAATTTGGTGAAGTTAAAAATTTAATCTAACTATTTGAAGTTGCCTTTCGGCTTGTTTTTCTAAACTACTGTAGAAAAATCATTAGTTGTTGAAACGACTCCTTTAAAAATTTGGACCCGAAAAATTAATGATTAAACAATTGCAACAACCGATCTTGTGGAAAACGATGTTTCAGATGATTCCATCATCTGGCGCAAATTGCAGACAGTTACATGGTCTCTAACTTCTAAATATTGATACATTAAGATCTAGATTTTTCGATTGCCTAGAAATAATATTTTATCATGTTATTTTTCACAAAAACTCGTTAAAATACTTGAGTTGTGTAATTTTTTCTACATTCATATTTATTTTGTCTCATTCTTGTTTTTTTCTTTTTTAAAATTGTGCTTGCCAAAATTCATTTACTCTTTGATCCTGCTCACATTACACTGTATCTATTTGCTTGTACCTTGACTTTTCTTTTGCGATGAATTTGCAGTGAAATGCATTTTTTAATATTTTATATTGATGTTTAAATTATGTTTTATTTGTTGGAAATTTCTTTATTTTTTGGCCTTTTAAAATTCACTGTTAACACAATTCTCGTTATCGTCTTTCATATATCTTATATGAGAAAAAAAAATTTGGATGCTGCGTATCGATGTCTGCTGTAATGATTCATCGCCGAAACTTTTCATTGTATCGTTCATATCGGATAGAATAAATCAACCGGAATTACTTTTTTTTCATTTTTGATTATTATTAAGATGTTTATCCATAAGTAATCCACCAATTTATATTATCTCTACTGGAATAATGAATGTTATGGTGTTAAATATCTCAGTGATGTTGGAATCATAAATTCGATAAAACTTTCATAGAAGAAAAGTCCTATTTGCCCTATGCTTTGTAATCTATCAGTGAATAGAATTATCAGGTCGATCAATTAAGGAATACTATTAAAAATCGAATATAAGCATCAAGCATTTGAATCTATCAGATGAATCTGTCCTTAATGGTATTTTCATCATCAATTTCAAGCTTTTCTTAAACTTTTACCAGTTTTTTTTTGTTAGGAGAAGAGAATGAAGTTTGTAAATAGTAAATTTGATTAGCTTCAATATTTTAGATAAGGTAAAATGAAAATGCGGATGAACATTGTTTATTTATTTATAATACTCATTTTATATTTTTTCAATTCTTTATTTGCTTAAAAAGACAAAATGTTTATTAATCTTTTTAGTGGAATCAAAATTTTTATAATTTTTTTATCTGCCTGGAGATAAATTTTTAGATGAGTTCTCATCATAAAATGACATAAAAATCAAAAAAATAAAAGCTCATTTATAACTTTCGATGAGTAGTTTTATCTGAACATTTTAATTGCATTCCTTTAAATTTGCAATAAATTTTTGTAGCAATAATTTCAACTACTTATATTTTCCGATCTCTTCTTCATTCTAAATTCGATTTTTCTTTTGAATTTTTAAATAATACAAATAATTGACTTTGTCCTGTTCTATTTCTGATTTGTTGTTGTTGAATGGAAATCATTTTATCACATGTAAGATCATTTATCATTCTTAATTAAAAGAAAAAAATCAACGAACTATGAAAAGGTCATACATAATCTATCGATTCTTTTATACATATTGCTTCGTCATAAATATTTGTTACAAATTCTCGATGATTAGGAATGATAAGACTTAAAATATTCCATTCGCTAAACTTTTGATTGCTATATATATTAACGTATTTTATATATTTTTTACACAGTGAAAACAGCGATATTTGGCAAATTATAAAAGTGTAAATAACTCAGAGAAATATCATTGGAATCTTTTTCCCTTTTTCGTGTGGCCAAAAATTTTTAAGATAAAGTTTATACTAATTTTAATTGACACTGTTACGGTTTTATTGCCTAAGAATTATTTCTAAAAAACGATTCTTTAATAGGTACATTTTACTGAATTATTTTCTAAGTGATGAAGTAAAATGTCGGACAGATTGTTGAATTATCTAAATTTAAAGAATAAAATTTTAATCATTTCATAAAACGATTATTTGCATTTCTCGATTTGATTTTCCCATATCTTAAATTGTCCTTGAAGAAGGGTTATGATAATAGATTTTAAATGTTCTTTCACTTTTGTTACTATTGAAGAATGGGAGAAAAGAGAACACTATTTATTGAACTGGAAACTTTTCTAGACACGTTGTTTTTCAAACTAACTTTGATAATTTTTTAAGAAATAATATTTTAAGTTCAAATATAATCAAATGATAACATCAGATTCCACGATTTTCAATGGTTCAAAGTTAGCAATAGTTTTGATGGAAGCACATTTTTTCGCTTTAGAAGATAAAACTGATTTTAGCAATTTAATAAAATTTAGAAATTAACAATTTTGGAAGCGTCAAATTTTTAAAATATAAAAAATTGTTATAAAAACTTTTTCAATTTCTTATTTATAATTCAATTTTGCTATGAAAAATAAAGAAAACTGTACAGTTAAGAAGAAAAAATTTGCATTTATGTATGTAAATTTTACATTGAATTGAGCAAATAAATTTGCATTAAATTAAAGAATATAATAAAATGAAAAAAAGTGAGGCAAATTTATCAAATATCATTCATTTATTTATATTTATTGTGGTAAAATTGATAATGAATTTTAAAATTATGCAAAACATTTCATTGGTGATAATCATTTCGATGGTAAGTATGATAGTCATTTTGATGATGAATATATGATGATAATAATTTTGATGATGAATATATGATGATAATCATTTTGGTGATGAATATATGATGATAATCGTTTTGGTGATAATCATTTTGATGAAAAGAAAAATGGGAAAAGAATTTTCCTTTTTTTCCTTCTTTTAATTTTATTTTTATCAAAATCTTTAATTAATTTTAATTGGATATGAAGAAATGAACAAATAATTTAATAATTATATATATGTCATTTGCAAACATTGATATTTTTTCCGTTCTGTCAATCATGAAAAATCTCATAGAGCATACATTTCTTTATCATTAAAATCCATTATCACTATCTGATTATTATAGTTGAAATTAATATAATGCAATATTTAACTTATCCATCTGTATATTACAGTGTCATTTTAATTTATGAAAAAATGAGCCATTCGAAATGATATATTTAATTTTTACGCTTCGTTATTTTAAATCATTTACTGAAAGTTTGAAAATAAGCTCCACTCCTCATTATAACAGCTATAATGTACTTGATGTTGATTATCCAACTTGGATAACTGTGGCAATTCTAGAGCTAATACATGCACCAAAGCTCTGACTTTTTGAACGAGCGCATCTATTAGATTAAAACCAATCGGAACAAATTTGATTTGATCCGTTAATTTGGTGACTCTAAATAGCTATAGCTGATCGCATGGTCTTGTACCGGCGACATATCTATCAAGTGTCTGCCTTATCAACTTTCGATGGTAGTTTATGTGCCTACCATGGTTGTAACGGGTAACGGAGAATAAGGGTTCGACTCCGGAGAGGGAGCCTGAGAAACGGCTACCACATCCAAGGAAGGCAGCAGGCGCGCAAATTACCCAATCTCAGAATGAGGAGGTAGTGACGAAAAATAACGAGACCGTTCTCTATGAGGCCGGTTATCGGAATGGGTACAATTTAAACCTGTTAACGAGGATCTATGAGAGGGCAAGTCTGGTGCCAGCAGCCGCGGTAATTCCAGCTCTCAAAGTGTATATCGTCATTGCTGCGGTTAAAAAGCTCGTAGTTGGATCTGCGTCTTAGGACTTGGTCCATCCAAATGGATGTGAACTAAAATCCTAGACTAATATTACAAGTTTTCTAATGTTACCTTAATTGGATGCATATAGTAGCTAGTAAGCACCACCAGGAGTGTAGCCTGCGGCTTAATTTGACTCAACACAGGAAAACTCACTTGGTCTGGACACCGTGAGGATTGACAGATTGAGAGCTCTTTCATGATTCGGTGGTTGGTGGTGCATGGCCGTTCTTAGTGGCGCATGGTCGTTCTTAGTTAGTGAAGTGATTTATCTGGTTTATTCCGTAACAAGCGAGATTCTAGCCTATTAAATAGTTACTGGATAATTTTGTCCATACAACTTCTCGTATTTGTAGCAAGTTTTAAAATAAACTATCGCATTATTCAAGTAATCTTAAAATCAGATTAAAATTCTCGTGCTATCGTTACTTATCATAATGCTACATCAAAATCTAATCTGATATTATTGAACGAATCAATAATATTACATTAACCTTACGATATTTATTTTTTCCATTGATCAACTTGGGGATTGAATATGAAGTAAAATTATGCTTCAAGATGCCTTATCGCCTAATTCAAATTAATTTGAATGATTTGATTATATTTTAAAATATCGACAAAAATACTAATAACCTTATTATAACGAGAAAATACATGCTATTTATTTATTTATTTTTCGCACATTTTAGGTTACTGTTTCGAGAATCTTCTCCACTTTCGAGAATTTTTTTTCACACATTGTCGTAATATTTCAAAACTGGAAAAATTTTATTTCATTAAATTGAAGAGTACTTGATATCTTGAAATTAATGGACGAACTTTTTATTATCATCGAATTGAAATAAATTTTGATGATCAAAAAGATTGCATTCAGTTATAAAATAAGTAATTTATCAAGAAAAAAAGATACTAAAAATGAAAATTAAGCGATTTTCTTAAATTACTTCATGTAATCCTTCAAATTCTTTCTTTTGCCTTTCATAATTATCATTATTATTCTTATCAAATGGTCAAGAATTTCTTTAATTTCCGAATGAAATTTCAAATATTTGATTTTAGAGCAAATAATAATATTGTATATGCCATTATTTTTTTTAGAATTTTATTGATAATTCAATATAAAATATAATTTTTTTAATTTCCCAACAAATAATATTATGCCCTGATAATCTTTTCTTTTGACCTAAATTTTATAGTCAATAATATTTTTGCATCTCTCAAAATTTTGAAGAATTTTTCTTTCATCCTATTGCTTTTTCGCATAAATTATTAGGTCATAATTTTGACCTTTCAATATCAATTCCAATAAATACGATGCTGACAAATTTTCGATTCATATTAAGATCCATTTTTCATTATTATATTTTAAAATTTATCATTTGTAGTCCTATTAGCACTGATAGTTGTTAGCTCAAATTTTCATTTTTTTGTTTGAATGATCTGTTAATAATTTATTCTCATTTGATATTTGATTTTTCAATATAATGAAGTTTTTGAGGACAGATTAGTCTCTTCCGTTAATCTTATCATCGTTCATATCATTATGTCAAGAAGTTAAAATATTGATAAGAAACAAAGAATATTTTATTATTCAAGGCATTGTTAGAACATCAGTTTTTTTCTGTGATATAGAAAATTATGAGAAGATATTCTTATCATTGTCGTTCTTTTTTTATTTTCTATTATCTTATATATTTATAGCTTAATATTTTTCTATTTCTCGAATTAAAATTTATTCTTCTTCTTCTATTAAAAAAATTTTGATTTAATTTCCCTCGAGAATACCTATAATCTTATTCCTCTCGAAAAGTAAGATATAACTGAAAGTCGACTTCATTAAAGAGTTTATTAAAATAGAAAGATTGTGTGATATCAGCTACTATTCTTCATTGCTATATTTAATATAAGAAGGAAGAATAATTTTAATTCGAGAATTAGGAAAATATTAAACTATAAATATATAAAATAAAAAAAACGATAATGACAAGTTTGATTTTTTAATTATTTCTATTTTTTTTATCAAAGAATTGATAATTATTTATTATTTTAAATTTTTATTATTCAAAATTCTTTTTGTAATAACAAAATTCTATGCTTTCAATTTTCTTATCAAACAATTCTGTTTGATATATCAGTGTAATATCTTTCAAATGTTATTAATTTTATTTGGTAATTTAAAATTAAATAATTATTTGGAATTTTAAATAGGAATTCTTTTCTAAAGAATATATCAACAAATTTGTTTATTATTGTTTTTCTATTGTTTTTGTTTTTTTTCTTTTAAACTAAAACGTTTATTAAAATTTATTAAATAATGAAACGAATATTTAATGCTTGAAATTTATTCATTTATTTTATTATCACAAAGAATCATACAATGTATCGTTTAATTTTTAATGCAAAATTATTTTCTTTTAAAATTCGAACTGTTTAAATTATTCAGAATTATCAGTATTCTGTACCCACAACTGTAATTATTTTCGTTTAAAATTCGAACTGTTTAGATTTAGACGATTCAGAATCATCGTTATTCTGTATTCATAATTATTGAAAATATTTTTAAAAATATACAACAAAATTATTTTACAATATTTAATGAAAATAATGAATGGAATGGTTTATATTCAAACCTTTATTTGTTACTTTTGTTTGCGATTATAATATTTTAGAATTCTTCCGAGATGATAATTTTTAAACATTGAAATTATCTGCATGATATAAAAATAGATTAGCAAGATTATTCATTCGATTATCATTCTTTTATCCACCTATCGTATATTCTATTTTCTTTTTTCTTAACATCTGATCTGATAAACTATTGCTGATCGGATTGGCAGCTATTAATCCATCATTAATACGAGAAATTTTTGTCGTTCATTTTGAAAGTCTCTGCAAAGCAATGATTAATTATGATTAATATTAGATACTATCATACTAAATTATCTGAATAAACAAATTATATGAGATAAAAAAAAAAAAAGCGGCCCATTGTTTTCCTCAAATAATAAAGGAAAATATATTCGTTCCCCGTTGAAAACAATTTTAATCAATTTTGGCAACGGATGAAGATTCCTTCATGGTCATTTTTCTATGTATGTAAATATACATGCCATATCATGCTGAAATATATTTATTAAAACGAGTTTTCTTTTTTTTATTGTTTTTCTTTCGTCTATATTTAACTGCTACAGCATTGATATTATTTTGTTGATAATTTGTTTTCTTGATAATTTGATTTATTGATAAATTGTTTTCTTGATATGAATTGATTTCTTGATGAATTGATTTCTTGGTAAATTGATTTCTTGATTATTTGATTTCTTGATGATTTGATTTTTGGATAAATTGATTTCTTGATGATTAGCATTAACGGACACATCCATCCGGATTTCTTGATGATTAGATTTCTCGATTATTTGATTTCTTGATGATTATCATTAACGGCCACATCCATCTAATCATATTTGAAACACTAATGCTGATTTAGGATTATTAATAAATCTGTTTATGTCGATTTTCAATAATTCGTCCTTCTGAAGAAGAAGAAGAAAAAAAAGAAAGCAAGAAAATGAAATGAAGCAAGAACGAATAAGAGAGGCGTAAAAAAGTAGAAAAAGAAGTCTCAGATAAAAAGTATTGAAAAAAAAAGTTGAGCGGGAAGAGTTGGAAAAACGTTTATAAAAAAAAAAAAATTGAAACAATTATTTTCATTGAAAAGGACATCATTCTTTTACTTTATTTTCTGAAATTTAGAATTTTTTTCTTAAAATTTACTTTTTTTTAAATACTATTCTGCTATTGTTTACTTTTCCTTCTTTTAGACTTTCTCATTCAAAATTTATTTATTTATTTATTTGTAAACAATCGATTATTTTATTCATTAGAAAATAAAATGAACGATGATAAATGCATGCAATTGCATACATATTATTATTATTATTATCAGTATTATTGATATCATTATTATCATGAATATTATTGATATCACTATTACTATCAATATTGTTAATAACATTATTAGCAGTATTATCATTATTATTAATAATTATCTTTATTAATTGTTATTAATACTATTATTGTTATTAATCACTATTATTTATTATTGTTATTATTATTACTATTATTATTGTTATTATTATTGTCGTATCATTATCAGTGAAAATTTTTGATAATTTTTATCATTTAATTCCATTTATTATTTAATATTAATAATTTTCATAACTAAGTGATACTATTAAACTTAACATTTTGCATGTCAAAGTTCAATCATCAAATTTTCAATTCTTCATTTTTTTTTCTATTCTAAAATTTTAAATGAAACTAAAATTCACCGTATCAATATTATGGTAACATTATTGTTTATTTATATATATATATATATATATGTTATTATAATATCCTATCAATTTCTACTGTCATATTTAATAATAACACATATTTTTGTTTACTTTTATAATCATTAAAAGTAAACATTTATGCATAATATAATAATAATTTAAAATTTACCTCAAATTTTCACACCTTTTTAATCGTTAACAATTTTAATTCTTTTTCTCTTCTCTTTCTATTACAATTATTTATCAATGAATTAAAATTGATAGCTTTAAAAATCTATCAATTTTTATTTCTAATTTTAATTAAACTTTCGTTTAATTATTATCATTGTTTCCATACTTCCTTACTTAACCATTGATTAATTGATAATTGATTAAGCAGAAAAGGAAGTAAAGCATATTTTTAATTGTTGCTGAAAAAATTTAATTATTTTCATCTATTTGACTTTTATTGTTATGCTTCTATTCTTTTAATTATAATTTCTTCGTATACAATTTATAACATTGAAAATAGGATAATCGAAAATTCGAATAATTAATGAGCAGATTTCTCGAAACAAATATTTGATCAATTGTAATCTGATGTTTCATTGATATATCAGAAATCATTTACTAAAATATAATTAGTGTTAAAAGATGCCCTCTATCATAAAGCTTTTCATATCAAATCTTCGAAAAAATAATTAGGGATTTGTTCGGTTTTTTCTTTGATATCGATTTAACAGTTAAATTTATTTATTTTTAATTATTTTTCTTTCAATACTTTAAACTCCTATCAGTAGAGAAATATTATTATTAATTTGATTAAAATTGATTTCTTTCATATATGTATTAATATTTTTGAATTTATTGATAATATTTGCTCACTGATAATATATCGTTTTACTAATTTCATTCATATATGCACTGATAATATTTTTTTACTGATAATATTTGCAAATGAAAAGAAAAGAGAGACGATGAAAAAAATTAGAAATTCAAGAATGAAAATAATGAATGAATTAGATTACAACACATTAATCATTAAATTATTCGTTTGGTCATTTTACGAGATGTATTTTTCAAATTTCTCATTTAAATAAGAATAAATGATTTTAATTTTGTTTATTGTTAAATCATTCCATTAGTTTTTATATTTATTGTTAAAAATAATCAATTGATTATTATCACAGTTCAATAAATTTATCACTTTTCAATCATTATCAATTCATGATACTGTAATTTTCAAGTTCATATATTTCATCAAATTTTACACTATAAATCATTTCATCTCGTAACCCCTTTTATCGAGAATGAAATATTTAGTGTGAAAATTTGAAGAAAGGGAAAGATTAAAAGAATGAGAGGAAATGGAGAAGAAAGCATCGAAGCGGAAAAAGCAAGAAAATA